TCAACACTCCAGCGTCACAACAGTCGAGGATCTCCGCGTTGCCGGGGAGAGCGTCTTTCGCGCGATTAACCGGAAACGCGAGAATCCCCGAGGCTGGCAGGCCAAGCCGGAATCGAATGGAATCGCCGCGGGCGAAAATCTCCATCCATAATCGCCGGTATGAAATTCAAATCGAATCTTTTGTACGGATCGGTCTGTCGGCCCCCGCTGTCCACCAAACTTTCCGCGAAACTTTTCCCTTGAAAGGAAACGCCGCGGAAAGTATGCGGCGTACACTTCGTGGCTGGCATTCAGCGCGCCGCGAACTTGGAATACTTGAAATACTTGAGGTACTTCTTAGCCAGGAAATTATAGAACGCCCCTTGCGACGTGGCCTGCTAGACGTCGTCTAATACACGCTCTTACAATATTCGATTTTTCCATCGAGTAATTCGTCCTCCAGCAAAATTCAATTCTTCTTTTTTTTTTCAGCCCTTCCAGTGGCTTGTACATTTTTCATTTTTAATTAATTGAATTAATTAGTCTTGAAGGAACGCGAGTCTGAGAATCGCGATTGCGCAGGAACAGAAAGCTTTTCATCGAAATTTTGAAATATTGTGCAACGTTTTTATCGCAATTATTTTAAGAAATTAGCTTTATAAATATTTAAATATTAACTGGAGTTTTTCGCTGCGAAACAAAATTGGAAACGCAATACTGCTGACCTGAAATGCAAGTTAATCATGTAATAAACTTTCAATAATAAGCAAAATGGCTCGTATAATTTTTCTGATTAATTAATCACAGTGACAATATAATTGGACATGCGCCCTTTCAATAATGAACGATTTAATAATTCCTGAAAATTCATTCTAAATGTTTTACTTTTACTGTCCAGAAGAATTTATGACTTTTTTTTTGTAAATTCAACAGTATAACAGTTCTACTGTTTCATTTTGAACGAAAGTCTGCACGAACGTGAATTTACATTATTTTTCAAACGGTGCATTTGTCAATTTTCATTACACCCAACGTGTTATACCAGAGCTCTATTTCCAGCGCAGGATTATCTCGAGTAATTTCTCAAACTGAACGGCTACTGTTGTAAAATTAGATCTGCACCGTGTTCCGTTGAATAAGTAGCATTATAGAGAGAGGGTACCCAACATGTTCGCAATCCCCGTTCACTTTATCCCAAACAGACCGCAATAATATTACATGGAACTAGAACGCACAAGTTCTACATCTATTAGGATCGCTGACTAGCGATGTGTTCCTCTGTAAATCCGCTAATAATTCACCGACCGAGTCGTATTAAAGATTCAAGGGAAACCGGAGTCCTCGCGATTGAAATGAAGCATCGGGATTCTTCGTTTCTGCATTAAGAATTTATTTACCCGAAGGAATTTAAGACGCGAACGTCAATTGTGGTTAACGAGAGATCGCCTTAATAATTCAGTTTCGGTTTGAAAAAGGAATTACCGTGTTAAAGATTCAGGGGAAATCAGAATCTTGGTATAATCGTTCGCGAAGATTCTCGGATGCTCTCTAAATCTTGTTTCCAGAGAAATTCAAATGCAAACGTTGATCGAAGTTTGTGAATAAGAAAAATTAGGTTGGTAATTCATATCTGGAGATCGATAAACCTCTTTGCAACTCTTGTCGATTATTACAGTTGTAATTTAATAATTAAGCTATCTCAGGAATTAGTTGGAAATCAGAAATTTGAGGAAAATGGGTCGCTAAAATTCTTCCTGGAAATTTGAGCGTAGATATCTGTACGATGCTCGACTCGTGAACGAGACTGTTTTCACCTCGAACGCGGTTAGTGTCGTTGCGCTCCCGATAAATTAATCCCGGAAGGGCAAAATTCTAGTAGTTGGTGTGGCGATGGTGAAAAAGAGGTTTCTCTCCGTAAGAATATTTTTGAACTCGTTTATTCGTGGTGGTGCGTGGGTATATATTAGGTCGGTGTATGTTGCGATTGGTTGGACGTTGAAGGTGGTGGAAAAGAAGGACTCGAAAAATGCGGAGGTGTGATTGGATATTAGGAAACCAGTGGAAGGAGAACGTGTGGGTGAAGGTGGTGTGTAAAAGTTGAAATAATTTGGGGAAAACCCGGAAAGGAGAAAGGGATAGGAAACATGGCCAGGATGCGACTTGAACTGCTTTACGGTAGGGAAGGAATTTGTTAGGGGCTAGAAAGACGACTGGAAAGGACTGTTTATTAGTTTATGATGTGTTAGTGGCCGGTGGGCTGCGCGACCGGACAATATCGATCGGATAA